TACAAAATAGACTATGTAGATTTATAGACGCGCAACAGTATGTGTACATACATGTATGTATGAATGTATATATGTAACATACCCTGGTGCATACACGAGATATACATACATACATGCATGCATACATACACAGAAATATTTTTATATGTAATGTAGGAACCTGATTAAGAAACTTTGGGCCTCTAACCCCGAAATGGTAGGGTTCATACAAGGAACCCTAATAAAGGCCCAAGGTTTCTGAATCAGGTTTCTACATTATGCACTAATAGGTAAAGATATGTACACACACATATATATATATATATGTACACACACATGCACATCAAACCCCCGAAGCAATGTTAACGACCTCCTATGAACTAAACAACGCCTGTAGCATAGAAGCCTGGTTATCAGTAATACTAAATGTTAGGTGCCTTCATCTATGCAGAGTATACTGTACCCCAGAACACTATTCTTTTGTTATGCCCCTATATTAGATGCCTGCCCCAAACCCTAAACCCTGAACCCATATTAATTAAAATTAGATGCCAGCCGGACATAGCCCGAATGGACACCCAGAGGCGCCGATCGCGCTCGCAGGGACCTCAAGGGGGGGTGAACGGCGGAGAGCCGAGTTCCGGGGTTTCGGTTGTAGGGCCTTAGGATTTATGGGCTTTTTGAACTTGGGGACTCCTAAGATTACCCTGAATTCCGAAAGCCCTGTTGGGTTTGGCGCTTTCAGTCTTCGCGGTTTTGTGGGCTTAGTTTACGATTTATGGTTTGAGCCTCTGGCGTCCGACCAATAACAAGCTAGAACCTGTTTCTTTGCATTTACCTATGCGGTCTCAAAGCACTTACTCTGGTTGCTCATGCAGCATGAATCAACATGGCCCAAGACTCATCTACCGTGCGCCAAGGATGCAAAGTCTTAGGGAGGTGGCATTTCAGATCTCATGCTGTTTGAGTAAGGTAAGAGTCTCAGGATCACACTCTGATGTTGCTTTTCGCTGACAGCGACCTCCAAAACCCATAAGACCGTCCGGATGGCGCAGACAGACACGTCAGCTACCACACATTTTGTAGAACCCCGAAACATTCCCAAAAGCTACCTTCCAAACCCCTACAGCCCTATAGACCCTGCAGCCCGAACTTTAAAGCCCTAAGCCCCTCAAGCCCTAAACCCGAAAGCCCTAAAGCCCTAAACCCTAAACCCCTAAACCCGTAATTTAAACCCTAAACGGATGAAGCCCTAAACCCTAAACCCCTAAGGCCCTAAAGCCTTAAACCCTACAGCCCTGACTGTACAGCCGATTCAGGGATTCCCGGGGGCGCCGAAGCGACTCGCGGCGCTGACTCGGAGAGCTGGAACTGAAGGCTTCGCACAGCTTAGGGCTTTCTAGGGAGTTTAGGATTTTAGGCTTTAGGGCTTTGTTTTTTTGGGGCGTTGGGGGTTTAGGGTTTAGGGGTTTTAGGGCTTAGGGTTTTGAGGGTTGAGGGGGTTAGGGTTTTAAGGTTTAGGGGTTTGGTTTGTTTTTTAGGGCTTGAGGGTTTTGAGATTCAGGGTTTTAAGTGTTTGGGCATTCAGGCTCTACGTAGCCCATGGGTCTGCGGGTTTGGGGGGATGAAGGGGTTTAGGTCCTAGGGGTTTACGGGTGAGGGGCTTAGGCGTTCGTTGTATGATGCGGCAGATGGACTGAAAGCATCGGCATGATGAGTATGAAATGGGTACGGCCCCCATTCAGTAATAGTTGAAAATAGGGTTTAGGGTTAAGGGGTTTAGGGTTTAGGGCGGGTTTCATAACATAGATGTATTAGGACCTGAATAGTAGCCCCATTATAGACCATGACTGTCTGGGGGCAGTACCTAAAGTATGAATGCCTGTAACTGGTGAGAGATGTGGAGCTAGTGCAAGCTACTTCACGAGCACCGTCTTCACTCTTACTGTATTTTCATCGACAGAAACATCATGATACCAGATCCGAGGCCATCATCAAAATCTACGGAGCAGTAGTTCTCAAGAGCACTACTTGGAGGATCATGGGACTTAGTAAGCAAGGTTGTAAGTACCCCAATTGGGGTTATAAGTAATTAAATAAATTATAGTTACCCGAATTATAACCCTAGTTACTAAGTCCCATGACCCTTCAAGTATGGTAACCCTAAACCCTAAACCCCCTAAACCCTAAACCGGGGGGGCTATGTCAAGCCAGCCTCGAGCCGAGCCAAGATTTGATGTTTTACACTCACTCGAAACGGGCTGCCGATATACTGACATGCTTTTGAAACCCTGAGCCCTAAACCCCTAAGTCAATGAAGGCGTTGCTGCTCTAGAGATCTTCGTGTCAATGCCGCTGTCCAGGGAAGATCTGAGGAGCGTGGCGGCGCAAGTGAGAGTCCGAAGCTGCGCTTTAGATTTCAAGTTTCAGGGCTTTTGGCATAGTCTAGTTCCTTGTTGGGGCATGGAATTTGGTTTTAGTGACCACAGTCGTTTCCAAGCGATAGGCAGCCTCGACAGCATATTGCACAGTCGCTGCACCTCCCTGTATGCATGTGCTGCTTCTGTTTCCGGTATTTTCCTTGGTCTTTATATATATATATATATATAGGTATTTGTTTATTTCTGTCTAGACATACATATTTATGCGCGTGTATATTCATATATATATATACACACACACACATATGCACACACATATACATGTATGTATACACATGTATGCATGTATGCATATAATATGCATACGTAGCACACATATATATATATATATATATATAAATACAGACATGCATGTATGTATGTATGTATGTATGTCTGCCTGCCTGTCTGCGTGTTTGTTTGTATGTTTTTATGTGTGTATATATATATATATATATATATATACACACATACATACATATGCGTACATACACCGGGAGCGGGATAGACGTTGCAAGTCTATCGCATATACACCCGGTTACTAAAGCACACATACGCCAGCTTACATCGACTTGTAATGTACACGTAGCAGCACAGTAATGCAGCATCGAACGTTTGGACATGCGGCCATACATACATACGTACATACATACATACACACTTACATGCATATGTATATGTATATGTATATGTATATATATATATATATATATGCACCTATACGTACACATGCAAAACACATGCATGTATATATATATATATATATATATATATATACATACACACATCTATGTATCTATGTATATATATATATATACACATGTTTACATGCATGTATGTATGTATTTATGTATGTATGTGTGAGTATGTATGTATGTATATGAGCATATACATATCTACACACACACACATAGACGCAGATGTATGCTATACATGGTAGCACGAAAAGCTCACCAATCAGTCAAATGCCCTTCAGGGGATCGCAGGGCACCTACCGTGCAGATCCGTGCAGTGGTTATGATGGCAAACCGAGCCCAGTGCCTCCTGTTACTTTGCAGCCAAGGTTGAGGACTTCTGGCTGGGGGTTTCGGTATCGGGATGCGATTAGTTGCATACTCGAGGGTTGGCCATTCAGGTAAACGGGGCACCTTACTTGCCCATTGTTGACCGTACCTTTGAAGACACGCTGCCTTCTCATTGCTTAGATATTGTGTTCAGCATCCATGCATAGCGTGAGCCTGGGTTCGTTTAGATGCTGCAAGGTAACAGGGGCTGTTGAGAGATCGTACACAACATGCATGGCTGGCACCAGCTTCGGCAAGTGCGCGATCAACAAAAGGCCATTGCGATGCTTGGAGACTTGGAGTCATGCTGCTCTGCCCACTTCCCCACAGAGCAGCTTGCGCAGCATTTTCCTTTTGTAATATGAAGGTTGCAGAGCTACAGCTGAGTTTATATCGGTACTGGTATTGGTTCTTAGTGGGTGTATGTTTGGTGATCTATCCTGAACAGCAGGCCATTTTTCATTCCGACCCGCAATCCCCCAAATTTGGACCCGAAACCCTTAAACCCCTGATCCCTAAACCCCAAACCCTAAACCTAAACCCTAAACCTAAACCCTCAACCCTAAACCCCAAACCCTAAACCCTAAACCTAAACCCTAAACCTAAACCCTAAACCTAAAACCCGGAGCCCCGCAAGAGTCAGTCCGCCATCCTCAGCCCCGTGACCGCCTGTCAGGACCCTTAAACCCTCAACCACAACTTCTTAGGGACCCCAAAACCACATAAGCATAAGCATTTTATAGGCAATTTTATAGGGATATCCCTACCTTATTGGGCTTCATCATAAGGGGGGTTTATATGGGATATCCCTATGCTTCTGACACGTTTTTTCAGACTCCAGACGTCACATGGGTAGTTATCAAAAGTAGGGACCCTCCTTATTATAATACGGCACCTAATATTTAGGGTACCCCAAAAAGGACCATAATTTTGACAACCACCCACATGATAGCGTTAAGTCCAACCTCAGGACATGTACCATCTAATTGCAAGGGAATACTCAAGGAAGATGCAGCTTTTATGTGGGTGGCTGTCAAAATTAGGGTCCCTTTTTGTGTCCTTATTCTGGTACGGCACCTAATATTTGGGGTACCCCAAAAGGGACCGTAATTTTGACAACCGCCCATGTATCCTCATCGTACCCCGTTCTGAGCCTCATACAATCCTTCGTCCTACGTAAATAAGGACCCCTAGGTATATACCCTTAATATAGCTATTATATACCCATTATGTAGCCCCTTATAGGGTAGGGGTCCCCATTAAGGGTCCCTCCTTTTCCCCTAAAGCATATCCAAACTCGAAAATCTAAAGGCTACACCCCTTTGCTTATCATTGGTAGAGCTCTTGTAAGAAGCTGTATGGGAGCCCCTAAATGCAAGCCTAACCCCTAAACCCTAAACCCTAAAACCTTACAACCAAATTTCTAAAAACAAACTTAAAACCTAAAAACAAACCCTAAACCCTAAAAAAAAACCTTAAACCCTTAAAACAAACCCTAAACCCTAAACCCAGCAAGCCCTCGATCTGCTGAGAACAGGCTGCTGGCTGATCTCGGCTGAGAGGGTGGGCGCGATGTCGCGGTCGGGTTCGATTTCAGGACTTAGGGTCTTAGGGCTTAGAGGGTTTAGGGTTTTGGAACACCAGGAACCTGAAACTTACCGGTCTGACAAATTTCAGGGTCGGCATCGTGTTTCGAAGTTGCCTTCAGGCTGTCCGCTTTCCGAAGTGTCAACGCATGATGCAGTGCCACCATCGCGAAGCGATTCCTGGCCCTGCCGACGAGCTTCGATTCTTATTGACTAATCCTGCAGCTGTTAATACGCAGACGTACAGCCGAAATCCGCACACATCTCTTCCTTTCCGGACACTACTTGGCATCGGCAGTGTTGTCTGATTTATGTTTTACTGCCCTGTGTCAAGCATAATTGCCTTAATTCGTGCAGAACGGCAGCCGCAAGACGGGCGTGCAACCGACATGAAAGAGACGTGAAGTATCTCTAGCCGTCTAGCCGACTCTCTGCGCAACTCCTGCACCCAACACTGGCTGTCAGGGAGTTCACCCTAGCCCGTAACTACAAGGTAGCACAATCGATGCGATGAGGCCGATCTCAGCAAGACACATACTGCCTGTCAGAAATCAGATTCATGATTTCGGCTTTGCGGGGTCCAGGGTTAGGATGAAGATGAAGATTGATTCGTTTGTTAGCCGCACTGCGAGTAGTTGCAATGCAATTCCCACATCAAATAATATACAACAGCCCACTTTCAGATCTTTTCTAGCTGGTGGACGTTTGAACAAGAATCTTTTACCTCGAGTTGTCGAGAAAGTCGTGGTGGAGATGGATCCTGCAGCCCGAGTGAATCCTACATAAGACTAGGACCCAGAGTAGGCCCTTATTCCCTTTTTTGAGGGTTCAGGTTCCCTTATAAGCCCCTTTAAATCAAAAAGGGCACCCTTTTTATTCCTAGGTTACTCTTGGGTCTAGAAGAGCTTCAGGATGTATCTCCTGAGTTTGTAAACATCTTACAGAGACAGAGAGCCCTCAAGCCCGAAGCAATGAAACCCTGACGGCCAACAGCTGCAAAAGTCGAATTTCACCTCGTCACAACCCACGCCTTAGTTTGCACAGCACAAGACTAGGATCAAGAATGATATGAGCATCGAGGGGCTACAGGGGAATGGTGTTACTAATTATTCCAAACCCTGAACAGCAAACGCCTTAGTAGAACACCCTACTATAGGGGCTTAAATAATTACCCATGCGATCTTGGGGGTTCCTTATTACCCTTTTTTTGTTTTATAGGCCCATTCTAATTACTAAGGCACTTATATTAGCCTCGCTTAGCTCCACTAAGCCCTAAAACCCTAAACCCCAAAACCCTGCAACCCTAACCCCAAGCTCTAAACCCCCTTGAAACCCTAAACCCTAGAACCCTGTAACCCTAACCCTGAACTGCAAAACCCCCAGCAGCGCGTAGCTCCACACCATCCTCGGGAGCAAAAATGCACGCAGCCGTTGGGCGCGCCATTTTCATTTCCGGACCTGATCTCGCAGTAGTGGTAGTAGTAGTAGTAGTAGTAGTAGTAGTAGTAGTAGTAGTAGTAGTAGTAGTAGTAGTAGTGGTAGTAGTAGTAGTAGTAGTAGTAGTAGCTTTTATTTTTATTATTGTTATTATTGTTATTATTATTCTTATTATTAGTAGTAGTAGTTGTTGTAGTATCATCGCAGGATCACGACCAAGAGTAGCCCCTTATTTCCCTGTGTTAGGGTTCAGGTTCCCTTCTAAGCCCCTTTAAACCAAAAAAGGACACCCTTTCTATTCCTAGGTTCTCTTGGGTCTAGAGTATTGGAGAATTCACTAAGGTTGGGGGTTTAGGGTTTAGGGTATTTGGGTTTAGGGTATTGCTTAGGGTATTAGGGTTTGTTTTGGGGTTTAGGGCTTATGTTTAGGGCTTCGGCATTTGTTAGTAACCATCCAGCCAAATTTATCATAGCTCCCAGAGAAACTGAGAGTATGCTATACCCAAGACTGCTCTTTCGAATTGCCTCACGCCCTAACTTAAAGTTATCGTGTAGACCGCAAACACTATGGTCTGGGATTTAGAGGCTAGACGAAAAAAGGCTGGCAATGCTACACAAATGACCTAGGAAGATAGGAACTGGCTTTTCAGGTTCCATGTGTGCAATTACAGGGTTTGAGGTTTAGGGTGTGCTTGTTTGTGTTTCTTTTCGCACTCTGGTTGTCGTGAACATAGAGGCAATCGTGATAACATTATCACGAATCCCACTGTCTGGATGCAGCGGAGTTTCATTGCCCTAAAGTCCCTGATGCCCGAAGCTGCCCGAATGCAGGGGAGCTACAGCAACCCATTCTTTCGAACTTCAAAAAGCAACTGTAGCAACAGTTGTAAACCCAAGGGGAAAGAATTGCACCGGGACATGTTGGAAGCTGGTCATAAGGAGCGCCTCAACATTATCTAGGTAGGCCTTTGGGACTGGGACATTTTGTATTTTCCCTGCTTGGGCTTAATAGGACCCTATTTACGAATATTTTTCAGAGGCTTTAAAGGGCCAACCTAGTTATTGCTAATCTCAAAAAAAAATCAAGGCACCCAAAACCACCGGATGCGCCTCGTCAAACATCTACAAAAGCCCTAGACCCTGTAACCCCTGAATCCTAAACCCTAAACCTTAACCCCAAATTGGGCAGGGAGTCGGCAGAGTGAAAGTCCCACTGCACCGACTGCACCCTTAAAAAAAGCCTTAACCCCCCAAACCCTAAACCATCATTGCGATTTTCCCAGTTACTTTACAGATTCAGGTTCGGACACCACCTGTGTGCCTGGAAGGGCCCGGGCCGACCCACGGACGCTTATGGCAGAACGGCAAAAGGGCATGGTTTTAGGGTTTTAGGGGTTGTAGGGGTTAAGGGTTTAAGGTTTTAAGGGGTTTAGGGCTGTAGGGTTTTAGGGTTTTTAGGGTTTTAGGGGTTTAGGGGTTAAGGGTTTCGGGTTTAGGGTTTAGGGTTCTACGGCAGAACGGCAAAAGAGTCGAATCCTGAGGATTGCAGGCTCTGTTTGGGGGGTCTTGAGGATATGGGTGGTTGTCAAAATTATGGTCCCTTTTTGGGTCCCTAGTATATTACGGCACCTAGTATTTAGGGCGCCCAAAAAGGGCCCTAATTTTGACAACCACCTACATGGGTTTGAGCCGAAGGTTTCGAGTTAATGATTTAATGGGCTTGGGGTTCAGGGTTTACACGTTTAGGCATTTAAGGCCTAGCTGCGGATTTGGCGTAAGGCTTACAGAGGTTGACTTAGAAGGCTTGAAGGTTACGTAAGGGTTTGGAGTTTGGTGTTCGGACTAATTGCTCGTGGTTTCGTGATAAAACGAATCCAGACGCTAGGTCCTACTTTCAGTATGACGAGACTTCGCAATAAGGACAACTTCTTCATCAAGTGCAGTCATCAGCATCATCGCAAGCTCATCAGTACGACTATCGTCAAAACAGTTTAACCGTCACAAAGCAACAATACCAATACAGCCAAGCCCGGCAGCAGCACCAGAAGCAGCCATGAAAGGCCGGGGTTGAGCATAGTGTCGCTTTTGGAAGCTGTTAGTGATAAGGAATACTGTTGATAATGCTGATATCGAACGAGAGGAAGATGATAACGACAGGGGCAAAAGAGATAAACTGTAATAGCCACTGTCACTCCAGGAAGCTTTCAGCCTCACCTTCGGCATCTATCGGTATCTGTTTACACACTCGGTACTGACTTTGAGGTTTCTGACAAACACCTGAGCAGCTTCCCAGTTTCTAAAGCTCGGCAGCTTAAGAACCTCAAACCCACAGTCCTAAACTATAAACTCTACACCCTAAACCCAAAACCCTAAATCCTAAACCCTAAACCCAAAACCCTAAATCCTAAACCCTAAACCCTAAACCCTAAATCCTAACCCGGCGACAACCCCAGACAGTAAACCCCAGAACTTCAAGGCCCTCCAGCCCTATAGAACCCGGTTTAGGGTTTAGGGGGTTTAGGGTTTAGAGGTTTTGTGGTTTAGGGTCTAGGGTTTTGGGGTTTTAGGGTTTAGAACCCCGGACTTCCTTCCCCGCGCAGCCTATCATATCTGCTGCTTCTAGAACGCTCACAGTAGAAGCCCCAAGAGTTGGAAACCTGATAGCCTCAATCCTTGAAGCGATGTATAAGGAATCCCAGAACCAATTGTCCTCAATCCAACTTTGCTGGGGTTTACTAAAAGCCCTAAACCCTAAAGCCCTCTCCTTTCTGTCGCTCCAGGTTCGAGCTTGCGTTTCCTAAGCTTCAGGCCTTCCGTGTAACGGTGCTTCGCTTGCACCTCCTCGCTACTAGCCATGGGCAAGAAGATTGTCGGCCTCTACGGACCCTGGGCCCCTTCTGTGAGGGTTCCTTTTAAATGGGGTCTTGTAGGGATTTTTATAAGGGTTACTACAACGGAGTTAAGGCTTCGGTTTAGGGTTTAGGTTTAGGGTTAGGGCTTTGGTGTTGTAAGGCTTAGGGCTTTAAGGTCTTAGCGTCTTTAAGCGATGTGGTTTGCGTGTGACTCTACATTCCTTACACTTTGGGTTCTGTGGACCTGCTGGAAGCTGAGACCCCAAGAACCCTTTAATAAGAGGGTCCACATACACTTTACGGAAGTCGGCCCCAAAAGACCATCCTAATAACGGTTTTGGGGGGACTTAATAATTCCACAGTAGTAATACCCCAGCGGTCCAAAGGACAGAATAATCAGGTACCTGGGCTTAAGATAGTAGTTATGTAGGTTCATATTTGGGAGAGTGTATGACTAGTGGGCACTTGGACCCTTGGGGTAATAGAAGCCCAGAAAGCTTGATTATGATTCCCTAAAGTCCGGTACCATGTGGTGGTTCTGTAGATTAGTTTAGGGTCGTTTCTATAAGGGCGCCGTACTATTTCGGGGACTTAAACAGGGATCCCAGTTAGAGAACTACCCATGTAGCTAACCCCAAATCCCTACTGAGGACTCTTGTGCCTGCTCTCCTTTGCCATTATCAGTGTCTCCTGCTTCAACAAATGGCAACTTGGAGTATAGAGCAGTGATACCAAAGGCCTCGTCGAGGATGCCTCAAACCTGCAACCGACAGGTCTGGATAGTCGGCATGAGCATTCCCTCATGTGCAAGTATATTATATTGTCATATCATGCTCCCAAAAGCCGCAATCTAATCATTGCAGCCTAGGTTTTTGACCTTCTTTTGAAGCTTTATAAAAGCCCGGATCAATAAACCCTTATGAAAGTCCCCTTATTCAGCCTCAGCGTGTCCTATCTCTGCGGAGATTCCGACGGCTGACAGTCACCGGAAGCTCCCACGAATGTTGAGACCGTGATGTGTTTGCAGCACCTGTATATTGCCCCAATCCTTAATTCCAACGCCTGGCAGCCCTACTTTACGAGGTGTTTCGGCGGGATGTTGGAGGATGAGGGATCTGTTTCTTAGGGGCCTTGTGTTTAACATCTTGATCTTCGGAATTCAAAATTCTGGGGTTGCTCCCGCATTAAAGCTGCAGGTATCAGCAGGTCTTCAAGACTTTTGGCTTCAAGACAGTGCTCAAGCTCGAGGCAAAATGGGAGTTTCCGGAAATAGGGGACCCTAATATAGTACCATAAATATTAGTATCCTTATTATAAGGACCCCAAAATAAGGTACCCCTATTTTTCGGAATCCCCAAATCTAGCTGCAATGAGGGGGGCAGGGAGGCCTTCACCTGCGTTACACTTCGTCCATCGCCGTACAGAGGGACGAGGGAGCAGACCTTCAACAACACCCCGAAGTTAAAGCAGCAAGCCCTAGGTTCTCAAGCCCTGAACCGCAGCCATAGAACCTTCACCCCACGCCCTAGTTACCCTAGTTCCTAATCTAATCCATAGAACTTATACCCTAAACCCAACAGCCAAGACCGGATGAGGGGCTAAGTGGCAAAGGATCTTTGTTCCGTCTAAGTGGGAGTATCCAAAAATGGGGGACCTTCACATAGTACCCTAAATAGTAGAATCCTTATTATAAGGGCCCCAAATAAGGTAGCCCTAGTTCTCGGAAACTCCCAAGTATCCGTGGTACGAGATATAACTCACCCAACAAACCATCAGGTGACTGCACAAGATCGTGGACGTCCAACAGGAAAGGGTTCGCATAAAAACATGCTAGAGTAGGGAATAGTATACTACTGCATGTATTGACGGACCTTACCATGTATGAAATTCAATGCCCGTACAATGTCACCTAAACGTCCAATAACCCTCGTTACTGTAGCTGACCTGGCAGCCTGCTGCACAACTCAACAGAAGGTAGACGTGCATGCGTCGTCTCATGACTGCTGGGGTTGAGTTGGCTGCCCATGTAAGAAGATCCCAGATACGCAAGATGTTGAGAGCTTCCCTGCGCTCTTCAATGTCGTTCATTTTCTGCGAACTGTTTTTGCTTTACTATCGAATCCTAATCCAAAGGGTCCAAGTCATAGTCGTATCATACTAACAATGTGTGTGTGTATATATATATATGTATTATATTCATACATTCTCTTGGGGCCCACATACCTACTAAGCACCTGCTATTTGTATATATTTGGACCCTTTGGGAAGTCCAAGAAAGTCTCTACACTGAAGGGTATGGGTCTGAACCTTCAACTGCGTGCAGCACGATCAGGTCCTACACCTTTGGCGGTCCCTGCCCCTACTAGCTTCCTAGGCCCTGAAATGTGGAGCAAGAAAGAGCCCCCCTCGTTGTGAGGCTCGTGGATGCATTGAAGACGCAGCAGAGCCTTCAGAAGCACAAAATCCCTTTTAGAGCCAATCCAGGAAGCCTCAAACAACAAACTAAGGAAAACTTCAAGAGCCCACAAGGGCATCCTGATCTTGCCATGTCCCCAACAAATTTCCACCCACGGCCGAACATTCCCAGGCAGTCTACCTCTGGAATAGACCATGCTATGATAGCTATTGTCGATGTTTTTTATTGTTATTACTGTTAGTATGTTGTTCTTTCTACTACTCTTGTCAATGTTGTTATTGTCATTGTTAGCTATTTATTTCGACCTTGCAAGTGGCAGCAGGTATCGCTTGTCAGCGCTCACATCCCGGGAGACTCGGTCTTGTTCTGCGGCTTTGCTTAAGCGAGGTGCTTTGATGTGACGCGAAAGTTCCAAATCATCTCATGTTTGTGATGCCTGGCTTGATCTACAGCTGAGCAGCTGCTACATGAGATCCTTTTCGGAGGCATGTGGCATGTGTCATTTCAGCGATGAGTCCTGTGAGGTAGCCTTACCAAGAAGATTTGGACGGAAGTTCCTCCGCGCTGTCAGGACATCAAGGAGACCGGTTTACGTAGGGCTTAGGCCTAGTCGTGGGGACAGCTAAGTAAACCCTACCCTAAACCCTAAACGCTAGACCCAGTTCCGGTGGTTTTCAAGGCCTTGGGCACAGAGAGATCGAAGGCAGGTGATGCTGGCAGTAGTGGACATCGATAAAAGCACGATAATGCAGGAACCTGATTAAGAAACCCTGGGCATGTGTTATTATAGGCCCAGGGTTTCTTTCTCAGGTTCCTACTATACTACAGTATAAGCCCTGAACCCTCCCTCATGTTGCGAGTCCGTGGATCGTGTCATGAGGGCTTCTGATCTTCTTCGAGATTAGCGGGCCTGCTATAGGGGCCTTACTAATGACCTATGCTATTTGACAATTTCTTTGTTTTGAACATCGTATAATGGTCCCCAAAACTCCGTTCTAATTATTAAGGCCCTTACATGAAGGCCGGTACGTCACCACATGCTGCGACATATGGCATCCGGGCTTTGGTGTTTCCTTATCTGTGGAGTAGCGTGCTAAGCTAACTCTAAGTGCTGCTTGCAACTTTCAATGTTCACAGTCCCCAATGGATGGGGACCAGATGGAGAAGTATTGCCTGGGATTTGCGTGTCGCAGATGCGGGGTTCTAAGTTTTGGGCTCCCTTATAAACAAAATCGCAGTGGAAGCTGCCAGGAGCCGACGCCTTTGCAAGATCTTGCATCGGACTTAGTGCCCCTTTTTACGGGTCTCGGACGGGAAGCAAGGCTATCCAGGAGACCTTAAGTGGGGTGGTAGAGTATAAGGTTCAGGATTTAGCAAAATTCCCAACATTGCTCCGTAAGAGAACTAAACCCTAAACCCCTCAACCAAAAGTACCCAAATTTTCCCATTGAGAGCACTGAGGCAGCGGACTGGTGTGCGCCCCTCATCTACAGCGTCTGGCCGGTTCCTTGTCAGGCCTTGCACTGGCACTGCCTGGGGTTGACTGACGGGTTTAGGGCTTAGGGTTCTCAGGGCTAGGGCTGTATGCTTTTGCCCCTTTAACCCGGGGTCTCCATCTTAGCACCGAATATTCGGAAAAAGAAGGCACCCTTCGTGTACAGGGGTTACTGCCCCCCGGGTTCAATGGCTTTGTTGATTTAGAGTCTAAGTAGAAGCGTAAATCATTGCCGATGTTGTTTTAGGGTTCCTCTGTACGATAAAGGAGCCAAAACCCCTACTCCAGTTACTACGTGGAGGATCATGGGACTTAGTAAGCAAGGTTATAAGTAATTACCTTATTTGGAGCTATAAGTACTTATAGGTATAGTTACCTTAGTAATAACCCTGGTTACTAAGTCCCATGACCCTTTAAGTAGACCCTAAACCCTACATCCTTAAAGGGAAGCATGTTATAGAACCTTATAGTACCCCTTAAAAGGAACCCTAAACCCTAGTTACTAAGTCCCCATGACCCTTTAAGTAGACCCTAACCCCACTAGAACCCTTGTCCACATTAAAGCCTTTTTGTCCTGGGAAGGTAGGGCTCGAGAGCTGTCTTCCCTAAGCCGTTCTGACACTGCCCATAGCTCTTAGCATGTCGGTTGTGTGTGTGTGTGTGTGTGTGTTAGGGTTTAGGGTTCAGGGTTTAGGTTTTAGTGTGTGTATGTGTTTGTGCATGTCTGCTCATACACATATATACATACGCACATTTGCACGTCCAAACAGGTGTACATGCGTGCACGCAGAAAGACATACAGCCCCGCAGGCAGGCAGGCAGGCAAAGGACAGTCAGGGACAGGAACCTTTTGATTTCATTATGTTGGTCGAACATTTTCCAGTGTTCATCGCTTGATTTTGTCTACTGCTCGAAAATGCAGCACCTGTGTTTTGGATTTGTGTACTTAGTCTGCCCTCGAGCTTGTCTTATTTGGCTCCGGTCGGATGTGAACCCTAGTGCCCCAAAGCCTAGACCCTACATAACCCTAGCGTCTGTATGACCTACACGGAAGACTCGGTGAGAGCCGAGCAAACGGCCCAGTCCAGGATTGAATGTTGCAACATATACTGGGCTTTGGAGTAACATATTTCAATACTAACGGAGCCCATATGAAATACACGTTTATAGCTTTCTCTCCCTGGCTATTTATTTGAAAGCCCAGTACAGGTATTACGGGATGTGTCTTTAGAGCTGTTTCGACATCTGAGAAGCCAACATGTGATCTTCCATTATACTAGAATGACATTCAGGAGCCTTAAAATGAGGGATACTGTCTTCTATTATACCAGAATGACATTAAGGCGCCCTAAGATGAGGGATGCTCATTTGTTAAAGGTTCACGTGGATCCGAGAAGGACAGTAAGGATCCCGAAAATGAGGCGTACTCATTTGCGTGGACAGCCCCTTGATCGTGGGATCCTCATGATAGCCAGGGGTGTTTTCTGGTGCCTTCGCGGATCTTACTGTACTATAGAGGCCGTAATACTTACGTACTGTTTTGGGGGTTCCTCATTGTAAGTATAGTATAATGTGCCCCAAATCCCTATTCTGTCTATTAAGGCCCCTATACTACTGTAGTGGTTCCTCTTCAATTCCACTTGTGCCTGGTCCTTACTCACAGACCCATGGTTTACACATGGTCGCTTCTTTATCAAAAGATTGTGTATAGTATTTTCATTAGCGTACACATCTTTGCAATGACTAGAACTTGCGATGCCTCGTCGTGACACACTCTCACATGCTTCCAGCTTCCGGCATTCCCCTGTCGCAGGCTTTCAACACGGCCTACATCCTTGGCCTCACCGTGATCCTGGTCTATTCGCTCCTTCGCCACATTTTTCTGAAGCCGCAGCGATAAAAGTTGGCTGAGGGCCATACCGTTCCTCATATAGTGAGACCACCTGAACCAAGCTGCGGCGAAAACTTGCAGGCTGCGCATAGTTCCTACCCACAGGCTCCAGGAAGTACCTGAGGCTTCGGTCTCGGAAGAGACAGGATGATACGCGAGGTTCCGAAATTAGGGGGTACCTTGTTTTGGGGTCCTTATAATAAGGATCCTACGATTTAGGGTACTATGTTAGGGTCCCCTATTTTCGAAAACTCCCATGCGAGTCAATTGAGCTGCCTTGTGTTACTTTTGGCTTTGGTTCCACATAATTTACTATAACATACTATAGTATATTTTATTATACATATACTATTGTATACATACACTATCATATATTATTATAAAACAAAACTCCCACTCCCACCAGGCCACCAGCCATGGGAAGATGCAGCGACTTTTACGCACCACAAAGAGGTTTATTTCCCCACTGAATCTCTAAGAGCACAAACCCGTGTGCGTGTGTGTGTGTGTGTGTGTGTGAGAAAGAAAGCAGTGAACTCCGATTCTCTCCCTATAGTAGTCTCCATTGTAGTTCCTTTTTTTGGTTTAACCAGTTCTATATTAAGGATCCTAAAAGGTAGCCCAGAAAAGGAACTACAATGGAGACTATAGGTCAGTGTCCGATATTCCCCTGGCATTTTCGAGCTTCTTCTGGAGCCACGGAGGCTGAACGTCCTGTTCATCGGCACGTGCTTCTACCTGCGCCTTGGTCTACATCAGCAAACATTCTGGCAGGCTTCCTTCGCTGAGCCAAATTACTGCTTCTCTTGTTGTATCGTTCTCGTTCGCGTTCTCAGTCCTGCTTCGATGCATTTCGATATCCCACTACGCCGGCCTGGTTTTTCTGATGATGATGATGATGATGACGATACATGTTAAAGTCAGCATCTTGGTTCTTGCCTTCATCGTTTGCCACATTATGGTTAATCTTTTGAATAGGGAATGTGCAGGGGTATAGGAGCGATCATACTGGGTGAAATAAAGATAGGGCTTGAAGGTGGTTGATTTGGGGATGTACGGGCTTCTATAAGCTTGGTGCAGGATTTCCATCGGTTGTAGATTGCAAGTTCAAGTTGGGTGTGCAGGGTTTGGGGCTGCAGCATCTGGGTTTAATGAGGGTTTTGGTGAGGGTTTGAGGAGCAAGCCTTGATGCAGGTTCTTTCAGGGCCCTAAACCCCTAAATCTCTAAACCCTTAAACCCTTTACCCTAAGCTTTAAAGAGCCCAGATGCATTTCTTAGCTGAGAGTGAACACTTCTGGTAGCACCTGAGGCTCTACTACTATGTCTCCAGACGCCTGACTGGATTCCAATGGCTTTAGGGGTTTGTTAGGGGTTTAGGGTTTAGGGGTGTAGGCTTTGGGGAGTCTAGGGGTTGAGGGCTTAGGGTGTAGTTGAGGGTCAGACTCCGCCACGACTTGTGGTGCCGCAGATGGGCCTTAGCCTTCATGTGGAAGGACTGTCTTGTGTATTCTGCCTCCCGAGATAGTTACAATCGTCTAGACCCTGAGCCCGAAGAGCCCATGTGACCTGACCGTGCCACGAACGCATACGATCATGCGCTTTGAGAGAGCACCTCCTGGCAAGACGGGACATGTTTTGCGGAGACCGGATCTTGCTGCCCAAACATCTCGCCACTGTTCCTCTGAAAGCTGTGTTCATCAGCTTCACCCGAAGATCAAACCGGAAAAGTCCTAAGCCCCAAAACCCCATGCCCGGGAGAAGAGTGGTTGCGGCTGCTGCTGCCGCTGCGTTTCTTCTCTTGATGCCCTTTCTAGTAATTACTAATTTATTGCCTTGATGTTTCCATTGCTACTATAGCCACCGACTCTTCGCGAACTCTCAGCAAGAGTATGATGATCACGAGCAATACATTCGTAGCAGCACTTCCTAGCAGCCCAACGGCACAAAACGCGTCCACACATTGCTCCGGAAACCGCTCCTCCGTGTGCTTCTGAAGCTGGAAGACTCAAGGTAAGTCGCACAAGCCCGTCTACAGGCCGCTTGTGCTCGATTGAAAGGGCCCTGAGCCGCCATCACATTGAATTCGGGCTACCGAACTTAAAGCTAAGACTCTACCCATAGTCTCCATAGTAGTTCCTTTTTGGGGTTCATATTTAGAATCCTATACGGTAATCCCAAGAAGGAACTACTATGGAGCCTCTGGGTAAACCCAAGACCCGACGGCTCGAAGTGAAGTGCAGCCGGCCGCTTCGATGAAGGGCTAATAGTATGCTAATAGTATATAATAGTATGTAAGAGTAATCATTAACATATTAATAATTGTAACCATAATAGTAATCATAATAAGTATAATGAAGGGGCCCTGGGTCCAGGGTTGCTCCAGGCATCCTCTACTTGGAGGATCATGGGACTTAGTAAGTCAGGTTATAAGTACCTTAATTGGGGTTATAAGTAATTATAAGTATAGTTACCCCAATTATAACTCTAGTTACTAAGTCCCATGGCCCTTTAAGTAATCTTGCGGCATCTTCGGGCCTCAGTACCCAGAGGCCCCAAAGTAGTGCCTTTTTGGGGGTTTGTATATAGAACCCTATAGGGTATTTCCGAAAAGGAACTACTTTGGGGCCTCTGGGACATCAGAACAGTGTGTTTTGTTCCATGACAGTAGACCTTTCTATGTAATATTATGTCATAGTCGGTGTCACCAAATTCGATGACTAAGGTATCAAGATTCTATAGTGGGGATGTAAACCTGGTTCCTCGACGGGATGGATAGTGTTTTGGCTTGTGGCTGCTAGACATATATCAAAGCCACAGCACGAAAATACACGAATCCCTGAACATCCTTCAGCCTTAAGAGCGCGGGCAAAGCCCTTACCTTTAATTATACAGCCAAGACAACCTGAATGAATGAACATATTCAGCCCTCTATAATAAGGCCCAAAGCTGGAAGGTACTGGGCGGCAGTTCTTCACGCCATTGGGACAACGATCCTGGCCGTCGCGTGTGTCTTGTGCCTTTGCAGCCAGACACTCTAGAAGAGAGATCCCTCTTTTCTACAGGGTTTACTAGTCAGGATTCTCAATAAAAGATCGTGACTGCCAAAGTATGTGCATAGACACGCAGATGCATGTGTGCGAAAGGATCCGTGGGTCTTGCTATCGTTCGTATGCGCACCCACACAAGTATATTATATAATATATATATATATATATATATATATATATACATGTATACACACACGCTCGCACGCACTCGCACATCTACGTATTTGCATGTACATGCCTACATACATATACGTACAGGTTTGCATCTATATACCCATATATGTTTATATTATAAACATCTACATATACGCATGCATGTACATAATTATACGTACATCTTTACTGTTCTATGCTATGCGACGCCATGTTGTCCTATGCTCTACTGTACGCTACGTCCCTCTATAGGTATAATTAAGCACTGTTCTATGTTAGTCTATGCTAGACTTCACTGTACTATAATGCACCATACTGTACGATACCGTACTAGTCCATGTGCCATAAGCCATACCATGGCAAACCGCTGATCTTCACTAGACTCTGCTATATACAAACACTCCTGACAACCTTACACTACTGTATTCTAATGTTTCATGGCAAGCAGCAGTTTGATTTTTTAAACTAGTCTTTGCAACTGTGCAGCGTAGTACAAAACTAGAGTATCTATGTTCTAACAACACCTGGTCCTCCTGCTGGTACTTTGAATACGACTACTGTGGTTATCATAGCTGCGATGACTTCCGAACCACGGAAGAATTGCTTCTGCTACACAACCATGCAGACACTTTTATATGATCTGCGGACTGTCACGCTGCAATTAGTCAGCACATTTCACTCGTCTCCGGCAGTCGACGCGCCCTTGTGCCTGCGTGCCCACAACTCCCACAACCCCAGGACATTGGTAGTCTCCTAAGCCCTATAAGGCCCATTCCTGTCATATCTTGCCTTCCAGCCAGCTTCTGTGGTTGGTTTGAGGAGACCTTTCTTCCTAGAGTGCCTCTGAAGCTCAGCCATTACTACATTGGAGTTTCCGAAACTAGGGGACCCTAATATAGATCCCGAAATAGTAGGACCCCTATCATAAGGTACCCATAATTTTCGGAAACTCCCGCATTGCTGCTCCATGCTTTCAGAAGTGTATTCTGTTCTTTGAAGTAGTGCAAGCCCCATCATGGATTCGGCTTTCTGTCGACAGTTACACCATCTTCGCCATGCTGCGCCTGAACGCGTTAGGCGGCATGGCTGGCAAGAAGTATTGCGGCTGTGTGTCTGTGTGGGGGGGATTAGATAGGGGTGAGCTTCTACCTTGATACTTATATCGGCGTGCGTGTTTGCTCCATGCAGCTGGTTTTAGGTGACCTGTGCTGACGTGTATATATACCAGTATGTGTTCTCTCACACGTATTTGCATGTGCACGTGCTCAAACCTGTGCTTGGATGGTGTCTAGCCCCCTGCATAGTTGCCAGAGTCGAGTGTGGTGGCGGCAGATAAACGGCGGCAACAGTGGCTCCGCTAGGCGTATGTATCGCAGTCGTGTTCGGTAAGAGCACTAAAGCGGAATGAGCGAGAAGAAGAAGAACGGCCATATAGCTGCAGCCGTTGTAGTAAGTGGCGGCCGTAGTTTGCTCTTATCATCGTTGTTTCGATCATGGTGAGAGAAGCAGCAGCAGCTGCAGCGGATCAGCAACACTTCAGCAGTACTGGGGAGGTTGTAAAACGTATGTGTCTGGCATGCAGCACGGCAGAAGCGGCAGGTGGCTTGCTCATGGCAATCCGCAAGCAGCACTTTGCAACTGCGGCTGTTGTAGGACGAACATCAGCAAAGCTGGCACAATCACGTGAACTGCAATATAGAGGCCAAAATAATTACCAATGCTATTTTTTTGGGGGGGGTCCTTATCAAACATACAGTGTAGAACGGGCCCCCAAACCCTATTCTAATTACATAAATACTAATTGCCCCTACATTATGATTACATCTTCGGTTTCAATGTTCAGGGAGCCTGAGATGAAAAGCTTGCTCCTTCACGCCTGGGCCTATACAGTGAAACGCTCGCCTCGCCTCTAAATTCACGAGATTAAATATCAGGGTCCCCTATTTTCGGAAACTCCCATGTTTGCCAACTCCGCTCATCCAACTCGTCAGAAATCCTCAAGCACGCTACTTCCCAACACGAAAATCCAACGACGGAGACTCTGGGTGAAGAGCAGGTGGAACTGGCATACCTGGCTTTTTTGAAGCCAGCCAGTCCGTCGGGATGACACCAGGCAGGTCTCCCAAGTTGAGTTGTTGGAAAGAGCACTGGAAAGCTCTGTAACGCCTGATCTGGGGGGAAGTATATAGCCGGAAGAAGAGATGTGGTAGAGTGTCTTGGATTCGGGCTCTATGGTTCCGCTACGGCATTTGATGCCACGAGGAACCCTTCGGAGTCCACATCACCAAAGTAACCACGTGTTTAGACGGAACCTTGTTGTTCCTTGCCCCTTTGATCCTCCTGCCACGGCCTCTGCGCGAAAACCTGCATCCGTGAAGCGGGTGATGTCAACACTTTGTCCTGCGTTTGAAGCGCGCCGCCCTTTTTGTGCGAGGATACTTCCTAGTCTGGGTCGGCATCATCATCCAGTACGTTGCCCTTGGGCTCCATGCGTGCATGCAGGCAGGACAGCACACAGCTCCATTGCAAAGCTATTCATTATTCTGTTTGTGGTTTCCAGTGCTGCAAGCATTACTACCGTTGCTGGTGCTATGTGTTTTATCCGTTTTGCATCATGTTGTGAGTACTCTTGGCTTCTTAGCATTTGGTTTGCTGTTGGCGCCTTTGCTGTGTTTATTGTATTTTCCGTGATTGTGAACGTGGGACATATCGAGGTTCGTTTGACGGTTCCTACTGCTCGTACCTGTACCGTCGATTTGCACATTCCCACTCCCTAGCCCTTTCTTGCACCACGACCCGAAACCTTAAAACCCCTAAACTCTAAAGCCAAAGCCCTAAACCTTGAAAAATTAAACCCCTAAGCCCTAAATTCAAAACCCTAAACCTTTAAACCCCTAAACCCTAAACTCAAAACCCAAAACCCTAAAGCTTTAAACCCGAATTCCTACCAAGGTTACCTCAGTCAGTCGCTCTCCTGCTAGGCCCTGCTGATGCAACGTCATGTGAGGAAAATAGGGGACCCTAATATAGTACCCTAAATAGTAGGCTCCTTAGTATAAGGACCCCAACATAAGGCACCCCTAATTTTCGGAAGCTCCCATGTCAGTAAAAACCCTTACTACGAAAATTTCCAGCTGCTCCCCATCCGAAATCATAGTTTCGAAAGCGCTGTTACGACACATGTTCACTATGACCCAGAGATCCCAATACCCCTTAATTGGGAATATACCTTAAATCATAATATCAAGGTCTCTATAATTTAAGGTATATTCCTTAATTAAGGGGCATTGGCTTCTCTTTGGATACCATGCCAGACCCGAGTATGTCGTAGCTACGTTTTGTCATGATCGCTGGCAGTTAGCTGGAGGTGGAGGAGGCTGGCCGCTTGGTGATGACGTGGTGCATTCGCTTGGCATGAACATCTTGACCCAATGGTTTTACCAGATGCGGAAGAGGGAGAGGGGGGCCCCGGCAAACCCTAAACTCTCAATCGCAAACCTTCACCCGAAACCCTAGACTCTCCCCCTACAGAAGAAGTGTACGCCGGCTCTGGTCAGGTCAGCGGAGAGGAGACGGAAGAACACCGCCTTTACAAGGTTCCACCCGGTCTTGCTGGGTTCTGAAATTTTTACGGGTCATACTGTTCATGCAAGGTCAGTGTTCGGGTCCACTATTTGAGGAAACTCCCATGTGACAGGATTCGGGTTGTGTTTCCAACCTTGTAGCTAGTGGTACTTAGTTTCATCAGCGGGTATGTCACGTCTGCTAATACAGCAAATCATCATATCTTTGATAGGGCGGCCACATGATGACCGTCTTTGACGTGTATGCTTTGCTGCAGTTGCCATAGGAGCATTGTCTGAGGTTCATACCTTAGGGCCTGGGACCTAGAGTAAGCACTTATTCCTTTTTGTAAGGTTCAGGTTCCCTTATAAGCCCCTTTACACCAAAACGGGCACCATTTTTATTCCTACTGTTGATGGACAAAATCCTGCATGACCCTAAGGACTCGAAGCTATGGGAACTATGGTATATTCCTTATAATGGGTAATGCAGGATGTTGTCCATCAACAGTAGGTCCTCTTGGGTCTGGTACCTTCTGCAAGCTGAAGCTGACGCCGTCCTGGAAGGACCTCCTGAGGGAGCAGCAGCAGTATGGGGCCATAGAAGCGCAGATGCAGGGGCAGCTGCCCCCGCAGGAGTACCCCACTGCGGAGTCCAGGCTTTCATTGCAAAGTGTATGTACATATTTGTACATATCCACATGTGAATATATGCATACATATATACATGTGTATGTGTATATATATATATATATATGTGTGTGTGTATATACATATATATATATATACACACTTACACGTAGGTATACGTATACATATACATATACATATACATATACCTACATGTATCTGTGTGCATATGTGTGTATATATATATATAGGTAGATGCATGTGTGTATATATATATATATATATATATACATGTATTCGTGTGTACATATATACATGGAGATGTGCATTTGCACTCTGATGTGTACGTCTGTATACATGGATGTAAGTATGTATTATGTATGTAGGCAGGTAGACATATGGATGCATGCATGTATGTACTTCTGCATGCTTACTTTGCGCAATTGTATTGCTGCATGCTGGCATGCATGTTACATGCACGCATTTCCGCTTGTTTTGCAAATGCACTCACAGAGCATGTCCGGGTTTTCTCGGCCCGTTCAGCAATTTGTGGGATCTGCTTGAGAATATGCGAGCCGAGGCTGGGAAAGCAGAACTCTCCTGAACCCCAAACCCTGACTCCTGATCATCGAAACTTCTGTACAAGAACCTGTCAAAATCAAGCTGCCCCCTCGACCCGGAAGCTGCTGAACTCCCAAGCCCAAAGCAAAGCAGTGCTGGCACTTGTGCCTCTGTGCAGTTCCTACTACGGCGAACAAGCTGCTTACGGGCAAGATCCCTATGCGCAGCCAGATGCCTATGCTCAGCAGGGACAGTGGCTTGACTTCGAGCATTAACAGCAACAATAGCACTAGCCGCAAGCATGATACATGGCATCAGCAAGTCATGAAAAGGTGCTCGCAAGATTCACAGCGAGCACGAGACAAGCAAGACTGAAAACTAGACAACACTACTGCCGCTGCTTTCTACTGTTCCTGCTGCTACCACCACCACTACCACTGCCACTACCACTACCACTACCTCCACCACTACCACTACCACAGTAGTAGTAGTAGTAGTACTACTACTACTACTACTGCTACTACCACCGCCACCACCACGACCACGACCAGAACCACTACTACTACTACTACTACTACTACTACTACTACTACCACTACTACTACTACTACTACTACTACTACTACTACTACTACTACCACTACTATACTACTACTACTACTACTACTACTACTACTACTACTACTACTACTACTACTACTACTACTACTACTACTTCGACTACTACTACTTCTAGTACTACTACTACTACTACTACTACTACTACTACTACTACTACTACGACTACGACTACTACCACTACTACTACTGCTGCTGCTGATGCTATTTCCTTTACTACAGGTACTAGCACTACTACAGTACTACCACTACCACTACCACTACCACTACCACTACCACTACCACTACCACTACTACTACTACTACTACTGCCACTACTACTACGACTACTGCTGCTACTACTACTACTACTACTACTACTTCTGCTACCACTTGTTCTACTACTACTGCTACTACTACTCCTTTTGCTGCTGTTACTACTACTTCCTCTACTACTGCTGCTACTACTACTACTACTACTACTTCTACTACTGCTACTGCTACTACTACTGCTACTGCTACTGCTGCTGCTACGACGATGACAACGACTACCAGCACCACCAGGACCACCTGCACCACCACCACCACCACCATCACCACGACTACAACCTTGGCCTGGAAATCGACGTAAGAATGGTGGGAACGGAAACCTCAGGTGTCGTCTCGGATTGTAGTTGCGATTGCACACCAGTGGTATGCAAGCATGTTCAAGACGGTTCCAATGATGCATGTCCGCAGTTCCCTTACCCATCCCGCGAGATTGAAAAGCACCACGCAAGGTATGCAGCAGGATATCCCCAGACCGGCTATGGCATGCCTGCGCCGATGCCCGCGCCGATGCCAGCGCCGATGCCGGAGCACCTCATCCTTTCGCCGTTGCAGGGTCTCAAGCTTTTCTTTGGCGAAGCGCAAGGTGTTGTTTGAGATCCTTCCTAGACCCCCAAAAGTAGGTAGAATAATGGCCCAACACCTTTAAAAAGGCCATTATTCTACATACTTTTGGGGATCCAGGTTGTAGTTGTCTGCAAAACAAGACATTGACACCCGTGGCTGTGCAGCAGCCATGCTCGGATTGCGCTGGGGTGTCGGCTTCCGACGGAGGGTCGTTCTCACGACTGGCACCTGTGTTTAGTCGTCAAGTGGTCCGCTGCATTGGGAAAAGCGACGTGGTGTTTCTTTGAAGCAGACCCTACTTGGAGGATCATGGGACTTAGTAAGTAAGGTTACGAGTACCTTAATTGGGGTTATAAGTAAATACAAGTATAGTTCCCCTAATTGTAAGATCCCATATCCGTTAGCATCCAAGCAGCAGGGAGGTCCATCGCACCCGCAGCTCTGAGGTATGCAGGTGGACCATCAGCACCGCAGATGTCGCCCGGTGCAGCTCATTTCTGAAATTGCCGATGGACTGCGTCAGCGTGGGAAAATCAATCGGCTCTGCCATGTGATAAGACGACTGTTTGGTGGTTTAGCATCATGAGGAAGGCGTGTGGGGTAGTTATCCAACTCGTATCTCCCCAACTTCCCGAAGAAGTTTCCAGCGCTCAGGCTTAGGGTTTCGAACAACTGGTAACTAGTGATTCCATCATGGGCGCGTCCGCTTGGCCGTCAGTGCAGGCAAAGCATCAGTAGCTGTGTCTGTTCTGGTGAGTCCTTACTGCCTTTCTGACAACAGCACCGCGAGTACTTTGCACAATGCGATGATTTTCATGATGCTGCTGCTGCTGCTGTTGCTTGGGGTGGTGGTGATGATCGAGGGTTGGCATGGCGTCATCGTAATGCTTCCTACGGCTGCGGCGATCTGTCACTTTAATGACTATAAGTCCTTCTTGCTTACCTTTGGTTAGTAGGGAGTGTAGGAATGGGGTACAAGTATAGCTACTATTACTACCATTCTTCCATTCCCTACTAACCAACAGTAAGCTTGTCCGGTCTGGGATTGGACTTGGAGGAGGCTGCTGGTATGTCCGCGAGCCACCTCAGCAGGTCTCCCGTAGGTTTGCCACAAACCTCGTCCATTCGCGCCATGGGGAGAAAGATCGTGGGCTTGCAACTTGACAGTTTTGGTAGAGCGGATGTGGTGAGACAGCTGAACGGAATAAGCTGCGGGAGTACTAGTTGAACGTTCAAGCTAACGACTGACGCAAGCCTAAACCCTAAACCCTAAACCGAATAGTTGCTGAGTGTTGAGGCCTCGACAAGGTGACATACATGCTCAGCAAGATTGGTCTTGGGAATAGTTCATGCACGTCGATTCATACTGGGTTAGGCTCCTATATTCTGCCATAGGTACAACTGCTACTCCTTGATTATGCAATCTGGGTGGCGAACTAGGGTTCTGCCTGGTTGTCATCAGTCTTTAGCTACAAGTTGAAGACGTCCCATTTGTGAAGAAAGCTAGTCTAGCCCAAGCCTCGTGCGAGGTATTGTGGGCTCTGCGTCCTGTCTTTTGCCGTGATTTCCGTCTCTTGCTTCAGCAAGTGGCTTCTTGGATTCATCTTAGCAGAAAATTGCCGCCGTAGCTTGCGTGAGTAACTCATGTGCCGCCTATTATTGCAGAGGGAATCGCCTTCTAAGCAGAAGGGAAGTATCCCGAGATCCGCCTTAAGCCGTGCAAGCATGTCTACCCAGAACCCGTAAAGCCCCATGCCACCTACCCTAAACCCAAGGTATCAGCAGGTGTTCAAGACCTTGGGCATCAAGACAGCGCTGAAGCTTGAGGTGCGAAAAAGCATAGAAACCAATATAGGGGTCCTTAAGATAGTTCCTTTATACCCCAGAACCCATTCTTATCATTAAGGATCCTATCGCAATCCTCGTGCAACTACTGCGGGGATCTTGCCTTAACAAACTGGTTATGTTTAGGTGCCCTTTCGAGCTCCCACTTCCACTACATGAAGGTGTCGAGCTCACTGTAGGTTCTGGCACCTCGGCCTTTCTGAACCTTGCATATTCATGTGCTTCGAGCGTCATGCATGCAGGTTGTTTCAGCACTAAACCCTAATTACCCCAAATCCTAAACCCCAAACCCTAAACCCTCAATCCTAAATCCTAAACCCTAAACCCTAAAACCTTAACCCTAAACCCTAAACCCTAAATCCTAAACCCTAAACCCTAAACCCTAAACCCTAAAGTGGCGGTGTACCAGCTCTGGGGCTCAGTCTTCGAAGTTCACTCACCCCGAAGCCCAGGCCATCAGCCTGTACAGCTCTAAACCGGGCACCACTCCAAGCCCTGCTTGGAGGATCATGGGACTTAGTAAGTAAGGGGTTAAGGGTCCCTTTAAGGGATCTATAGGGGTGCTATAGGGGTTTAGGGTTTAGGGCCTACTTGGAGGATCATGGGACTTAGTAAGTAAGGTTATAAGTACCCTTAATTGGGGTTATAAGTAGTTATAAGTATAGTTACCGTTTATAGCCTAGTTACTAAGTCCCATGACCCTTTTAGTGGGGTGTAAGAGAGAAGCCGGGATGAATTAGTCTGAACTAGTTTAGTTATGCTAGCTCAGTAGAGTTTCTTACTTAACTTTGCTATAGCATATCCTCCCAAAAGCACCGTTCCAATCATTAAGCTGTTTTTTTAAGGCTCCGGTGAAGATTATCCTGTAGGGCCGGGGCCCCCGAACCAGACGTGGAGTTCCAGGTGTCTCTTCTCACTGCCCATGTTCCTGCCGAGTCGATCATGTTCTGCACCTTGCCAGAGTCAGAGGTACGATGCAAAGCGTTTTCATAGTTGCTCATTCGCATGATACTCGTACCACGATGCAAGAAGTCTTTGCCCACCTGGGGTTTTTGCTCTCTACAGACTTCTTTGGACTCGTCAGCCGTTCTGCCGAACTAGTGGAAGGAAGGAACCTTAACATAATAAGCCCGATAAAACGGAGCCCCAAGTTTTGCGAAACGCCCCATTGGTATGTTTGCGACATGACTTGGTCTTTTTAGGGACCTCTACGTCTGCAAGTGCTTCACAAGTTGATCAAGGTCTCATACATGGGTCGAGTCTTATGGAGCCTCATTGATTGCTGTGGTTTGGCTTTCCTAAACTGTGAAACGGCACCAAAGGAAAGCCCTAAGAAGGATCCTTGAGCCGTTTCTACTGACGAGGGGCCGAGATAAGAGAGCCCTTAACATCTCCCAGGAAAAAGGTTTTGGGACCCCAACGGAGCGGGCCCCTTTGACTTGGGCTTGTGCTAGGATCCGGTTCGAAATCAATTTGAATCCCGGTAGATTCGCTAAGGCTGGGCGGGGAATTATCCAGGCCTTGCTCGCACAATCCGTAAACCTTGCTACTACCATGTAAGCAGTAAGGAGTTATGTAGATGCCAAGTGAATCAGCCCTCTTTGCATAAAGGCCTGAATACTCGGATCCTTGCGAGCCCCTTGGGCAGGAGAGGAGGTTTATCAATGTCTATATTTGTTTAAGCTCCATGGCCACGGCGAAGGTTCCAGACTGAGCTCTGATCAGTCTATACGAACCCTGGAACAGGAGCCCTCATGTGAACAAAAATCCCATGCACATCTCCAAACCAGGAACCCGGAAGAATTCGATAAAAGGAGCCCTAAGATCTTCAGAAGTTCCCAAGGCAAGACAATGCTTATACCCCAAAGTCTGAATTTCCCATAATAAAAGGAGCCTCAAGACATGCAGAAGTTCAGCGGCAAGAGAACACCAAAGCGCTGAACTTAAAGGTAATAGGACAAATGGAGGAGGGTTAACAAAAACCCCAGCAAGGCAGTCCGCAAGCCCCTAAAGAAGCCCTAAAGCCCCCAAACCCCAAACCCTGAACCCTAAACCCAAACCCCAAACCCACAACCTTCCCAGGCAAGACTATCCGGAAGATCAAGAAGAAAGTCCCCAGAAGTTGCGACACCCTGAAGGAGCCACAGCCTTTGCAGGCCGGCTCTGCATGCGTTAGTCATAGGGACCCTTGGGGGGGGGGTAGGGGGGAGGAGGGTAGGGGACTATACTTCCGTAAATGGGCCTTGTCCTTGTGAGTTAGAGGGTCTTGCATCGTAAGGTTTGGGTGGTCATAAGTGGTACTTACAGGATTGTACGGGGCTTCTTCGAGTTCTTGTCCTAGAGTTTGAACTCACAAGGGGGGTCTTACGGAATCGTAGTGTTTAGGGTTTAGCGTTTAGATTTCATTTCCGGGCTAGGTTGGGCGGCTTCGGTTCTGAGTGTAATGCATTGTCAGCGTGACGTCTCTTGTGTCCTACAGCCTTCACGTGAAAAGACTCCAATCTCCATCGCCGATTGCCCAGCCCGCAAGAAACCTAAACCCCTAAACCACTAAAACCCTAGACGCCAAACCCCTAAACCCCTGAACTCTGAACCCTTAAACCCCTAAACCCCTATTAGCCTAAACCCTAAACCCTAAAGCACCAGTTGGGAGCGCTAAAGGCGTCATGGGAATTGGTAACTAGGGTGCAGGGTTCCTTTAAAGGGTACGTATAGGGTCTAGGGGAGAGTTCCCTTTAAGAGTTTAGGGCTTGGGCTTGGGCTCTACATACTGGGACTTACTTAGTGGCAAGGCTTATAATTAAGGTAACTATGCTCATAGATAGTTGCTTATCATCCCAATTAAGGCAGCTATAACCTTACTTACTAAGTCCCATGATCCTTCAAGTGCATGACAAGGCTTTGAGCAGCCCTGTGGCCTTTGAACACAAACCGTCATGTCGAGGTCGGAATAAGTACAATGATCATACTTTCCCTGCGCTGATAGTCCGCTTATGATCGTATACCCAAAGCCCCATTCTGTCTATTATGTCGCATGTAATGACATTCTACCTATAGGCTCCATAGTAGTTCCTTTTTGGGACTACCTTATAGGATTCTAAATATGAACCCCCAAAAGGAACTACTATGGAGCCTATGGGTAAATACGGCCTCTGTAGTACTTGGAGGGTCGGGAGACTTAGTAAGTAGGTAGTAAGTAGACTTATAATGACTTATAAGTACCTTCAAAGGGACCTTAATTGGGGTTATGATACTTATAAGTCCCAAAAATAACTACTTACTAAGTCCCCCGACCCTCCAAGCAGAGGATGTGGCAGCGGACTGGTGTGCGCCTGGCATCCAACAGGCCTGGCCAGTGCCCTGCCAGGCCCGTCGTAGAGAGCGCTTAGGGTTGAGGGCGTTTAGGGTTGAGGGCGTTTAGGGTTTAGGGGTTTAGGGTTTAGGGCGCTTAGGGTTTAGGGCTTAGGGGTTTAGGGTTTAGGGCTTAGGGCGTTTAGGGTTTAGGGGTTTAGGGTTTAGGGCGTTTAGGGTTTAGGGCGTTTAGGGTTTAGGGCGTTTAGGGTTTAGGGTTTAGTGTTTAGGGGTTTAGGGGTTTAGGGTTTAGGGCGTTTAGGGTTTAGGGTTTAGGGTTTCGGGCTTTGGGGTCTAGGGTTTTAGGGGTTTAGGGGTGTAATGGGGCTGTCCCTGAGGGATTTTAGAGATTGATTTGTCGGCTTTTTCCGGGTTCAGGTATTGATGAGTTCACATTTTTTTGTTGATTTGTCAACAAACCAGACTGTATGTTGGATCTTGGAGAAGCCGACGGCAAGCAGACAGGGCTGACCAAGGAAGAACCCCACTTCGGGCTGGCTACAATGTTGTTTTAAGGGTACTCCTGTAGATCCTAAGTCAACCAGCAGAACCTCTTGGACACGCAGCAGCGGGTGGTGGGGGGCGGGGAAGGGTCGGACAGGCCTCTGATTCTGAATCTGATTCTGAGTGCAAGATGCGGCTTAAGGTTTAGAGTTTCTGAGACCAGAAACATTAAAACCCACTAGACCTGGACGTTTCTACCCCCAACAAACTGCCCCACAAACCTGCACAAAGCTTGAAGGCCTTCAACATGGCTTATTTGCTCGGCATGGTGGTGATCATGTGCCCCTGGGGCCAAGAAGCCTCCTTTCAGAGTTGTTTGTTTGCTTTGGGCTACCTGACGTGTCAACGCCGCAAGAGCTGGGATTGTGAGTTTCCAGGTTCACGGCCTTAGGGTGTATATTCAGGAGTCTCATTATTTGGGGCAAAAGCTTATGCGCAGGGGCTGGGCAGTTATTGCACCATCTCAAAGCACTCGCCATCGAAACAAAGGGGGGCCCCCCCATGCATGACATCAACAAGCCAGAACCGCGGGAACCCAGGCCCCAAAAGGCATGAATCGGCATGAACCCCAAATCCTCAGTGTCACCGACAAAGGCTACCTCCTCGACGTTATGCTCATTCTCGCAAGCTTCTTTCTTCTGTACTACTACGTCTCGAGTGCTTGGCTTCGCAATTAAAGATGTCCAGCATCGGGTGAGGACAGAATCACTGGTACCTAGGTCTCCATGGTAGTTCCGTTTTTGGGCTGGCTGACAGGATCCTCAATACAAATATGGTTAAACAGAAAAAGTAACTAAAATGTTGAGCCTCGCCTTCATGGCAATGTGGGCATTGGTTGAAGGTTGCGTGATTCACGGCAGACCTCGCAACTTTAGGGCTGGCCGTCAGGAGAACCCCACACCCCTTCACAGGCGTCAACCACGGAGTGATTCAATACGGACTGCACTTTATATCGAAATGTCTACAGGATCATTAGAGATGTTTGCTGCAAGCCCTCCATCTGCATGCATGTTTGGTAGAGCGTTTCAACCACACATCCCAGCACCATCCTGACTCCAAACCAACACTCCAAATGGAAGTTTCAGAATATTAGGGGGTACCTTATTTTGGGGTCCCTATAATAAGGATCCTACTATTTAGGGTACCATATTAGGGTCCCCTATTTTCTGAAACTCCCTTAAACTCCCCAGTCCCAAAAAACACTAAGCCCGCTGAAAGTAAGTTTCCGTCCGCTGCTGCACAGCCAAGGTGAGAGCCACAAGCCCATCTACAGGTACTGGGCTGCAGTCCTCCATGCCATCGGAGCTTGGGTCAGCAGTTGCTGGTTTTCCGGCTTCAGCGTTTAGGGGTTTAGGCTTAGGTCTTCAGCATTCGGGGTTTAAGAACGTCGGGTAGTTGTTGTTTTGCCGTAGGGCTCCAGTTACCCCAACAGTTAGTTACTTGGGTACGTGATATATGGGAGTTTCCGAACATAGGGGACCCTGATATAGTACCCTAAATAGTAGCTTCCTCATTACCAAGGACCGCAAAATAAGGTACCCCCAAGCTGTCGGAAACTCCCATATGGTTAGTTAGTAGCCAGTATTTGGGTAACTGGAGCCCTAGGGTTGGGTATGTTAAACCAGATCCAAGGCTCTGTAAGCCCTTTGCTATAAGGGATCTATAAGGGTGTTATAATTTTAGGGTTCTACAAGGGTTCCTTTAAAGGGATGTATAAGGGATCCATGTTTGGTTTTTTTGGAGATTGAGGCGATGCTTGCGTAGACCGCCTTCATGGCAAGATGCAAGCCTCAGTACTGAGAGCTCAAAGACGGAGGTGCCCTCACTCTACATGGGGGCTCATGGGTAAGTAAGGTTATAAGTGCCTAGTTGGGGTTATAAGTAGTTATGAGTATAGGTACCTTAGTCATAACCCTAGTAACTACGTCCCATGACCCTTTAAGTAGGACGTGACTCTGGACCCTGCGGCCCTCATGGGACTGGAGTGCAGCAAGGCCTCTTAACTTGCCTTGTTGATGCCTTTCCCTTGCGATCCAGGGCGATCTAGAGGCTACTTAAGGCTTTTATGAAAGCGAGCTACAATCATATCATATCCAACGGTATGTAGGGTTATACCAGAAATCCTTAATAAAGGGAATTCTGAGACAAGGCCGGGGGCTGAGAGAATTTGAGCCCAAAGAAAGAAACTCCCAGAGCTGCGCTAGACAAGGAACTGGTCTCTTTGCCACCGCCTGTGTGATATATACCGTTTTCGGTATGGGCCGCCTGAATTCTATAGGCCGGGATCTGTGCTGCCCCTGGCTGTTCTTCGAGGTTTAGGGCTTAATGTAGGAGCTTGATTAAGAAACCGTGGGCCTATAACCCCCAAATAGTAGGATTCATACAAGGAACCCGAATAAAAGCCCAAAGTTTCTTAATCAGGTTCCTAGCCTAAGCCCTAAGCCCTAAACCGCTAATAGATCCCTTGTAGATCCCTTTAAAAGAAACCCTGATAGAACCCTAAAATTATAATACCCTTATAGATCCCTTATAGTACCCAGAGCCTCCAAAACCCCTTAATTAAGGAATATACCTTAAATTATAATAGGATCCCTAATATGATTTAAGGTATATTCCTTAATTAAGGGGTTTTGGAGGCTCTGGGTAAAGGGCTTACAGAGTCGAAGGCTCCGGGTCTGGTATTGGCTTTCTAGGGTATCTTTTTGGGGAGTTTCCGAAAATTGGGGGTACCTTCAAAGGGATGTATAAGGGTTCCTTTAAGGGTTCCTATCAGGGATCTATAGGGTTTAGGGTTTGGGAGTTTCCGAAAACAGGGGGTTACCTTATTTGGGGTCCTTATAATAAGGATCCGACTATTTGGGGTACTAAGTTAGGGTCCCCTATTTTCGGAAACTACCTTTTGGGGAGCGCAGGCCTGAGAGGTGAGTTTAGGGTTGAGGGCGACCGGATCGAAATGTGGTGTTTTGTGTTCAAAGGATTTGGTGAGTACAGATACTGCGCCTTGGGAAGAATTGGGGGAGTACTGAGGAGGTTCCACTGCCCACTGCACTGCCAGAAACTATCCGCAGTATCTTACCGAACCGACTCATGCGCAACCCTAAACCCGTAAACTCTGAGCCCTACACCCCTAAACCCGAACTTTAAGCCCTGACAACCCCTATAAACCCCCAAACCCTGAACCCCTAAAACCCTGCAGTATAGCCATTCTCGGTCTTACTGAGCAGCTGAGCACCCGGACTCTCCAATATCCCATAATAAAGGAATACCATACCTCAAAATATGGCAGGATCTCTGATATGATTTAAGGTATAGTCCTCAATTAAGCCTCCTAAACCCTCAACCCTTTAGATCCCTTAAAAAAAACTCACATATTCCACAATCAAGGGGTATTGGAGTTTCTGAGCAGGTGGTTCGGGCATCCGTGGCCTCTTCGAAGCCGCCACATCGATAGGGATGACTCCCGGCGCCTCCGCCGTCAGAAAGCCAGGTGTCGGGCTTTTGGTGTTGTTTCGGATTGTTTTTGGTTTTTGGGTTTGTAGGGTTTTTTAGGGTGCTAGAAGGGCCCGGATATATATCTTAGAATGGGGTTTTGGGGGTTTCCTATAGTATAAGTACAGTAGTATAGAAAATAACATTGGTCATTATGCCGGCCCCTAGATTAGATCTGCGGGGAGACATTGCATGCTGCAGTTAGGATGTAGAACTGACCATGTCCAGGTATGCCAGAATCATCATCGTCATCACTACCACCATCATAGGGGGAAAGTAGGCATGCAGCTATGCGTGTGCGGATGTGGATGATACTGGGCTGTGGCTCATGTTGCGTCAAGACCACCGGTCGTCCCGGTCGTTGTCGGTGTCACAGCCCTACAAGTAGCAGCTGCAGCGATAGCTGTGGCAGGAATAGCAGCAGCGTAGCAACATGTATTGGTCGTCGTAGTCGTCCTGTTCGTTTTGTGGCTATGCTGGTGGTGGAATCACAAGTAACATGTGTGGTTTTGCTGGTTGCAGTGGTGTAGTTGCGATGGTGCTGGTGCTGGTGCTGATTGTCGGTGTGGTTGTCGTCGTTCCCGTGGCTGTCGTCACAAGCGGCTGCTTGGTCGTCTGACTTCGCGTGCTTGTTGGGTTGTTTTGATGTGGGCACCGCTGGTGTGCCGAAACGGTCTCAGGATACTTCGCCGTTTGGTTCGGCATCTTCTGCCAGCTTGCTGCACTGGGCCTCCACACGGCCATGCAGGCGGGCCTGGATACCGCTTGAGCCTGTCAGGCGGGTGGAGCTAATTGACACTGAACTAGACTAGGTTCCTAGTTGGTATGAAGTAGCCCTTCAAGGGGACCCTTCTTCACCCTACTTCTGGGTCTCTTAAAGGGGACCTTGTTCAGAGGGTTTATATATTTTAAGTATTTTAATTATTTGATTATTTTGATTTTTTATCTATTTTAATTATTCTATATATTATCTCAAGGGTCACCCGATTCCGAACTCCGAAAAGTAGCTCAAGATCTGGGACCGACGGCCTGATGCCTTAACCCCAGAAGACTGGTCGAGCACGCATCTTAGGGGGTACTTAGAAATATTTTTTAAATTTTTGGTTATTATAATCCCTCAGAAACAGCTAGATATATACTTTTTGCTAGGGTTCTAAGTTCAGTATAGGCATGAGAGACCCTAAACGCCCTGATTGTAAGCCCAAGCCCTCTACGTAAACCCTTCATCCAACTATCCTGAAGTTAAAACCCCGATTACCTCTCGACTCTCTCACCCAACGGGTCCTATGCACTGTTGTGGACGATATTTCCCTAAAGTAGAACTCCTTATATACTAGGACCCAGAGGAAGCCCTTATTCCCTTTTTTGGGGTTCAGGTTCCCTTATAAACCCCCCTTGAACCAAAAAGGGCACCCTTTTTATTACCAGGTTACTCCTGGGTCTAGTATATGTATATATATATATATGTATATATCTATATAGAAAGCCTTCATTCTACCGTATAGGTACGTAGGACCCTGGGGTAACACTGCCTTATCGTACCTTACAAGGCCTAAACGGCACCTGGGTAGCAGAAAGTCTCCGTGAATCGAGTCTGGGCCACGGACTCTTGCCCTACACTATAGAACCCTACTATAGATCCCTTATAGACCCCCTTATTTAAGGAACCCTTAGAAAGGAACCCTATTCTAATTATCAAGGTCCCTACAGTATTGTATTGGATCTTAGGGCATGAGTTTTCAGCGTATCTTCTCTGTGCCTGTACATCCCAAAAACCACAACCTGATCAAGATTCCAAATCCCTCCCAACCCCAAATCATAAAGCCCTATAAAGTCCCGAAGCCCCATAAAGCCAAGCCCCAAACCCCTAAACCCTAAACCGCCTTGAACCCTATAACCCCTAAACCGTAAAAAACAATAATAATAGTAATAATAATAATAATAGTAATAATAATAATAATATTTATAATAGTAATTTTAATAATAATTCATAATAAATAATAATAATAGTAATAATAATAATAATATTAATAATGTTAATAATATTAATAATATTAATATTAATAATAATAATATTAATATAATGAAATATAATATAATATAATATAATATAATATGATATAATATATTATAATATAATATAATATAATATAATATAATAACAACATAGTAATAATGGGATAATATGATAATATGATAATGTAATAATATATTAATATAATAATACAAGAATATACTAATATAATAATGTAATAATATCACAATATAATAATATAATAATAAAATATTGTAATAATATGACAATGTAATAATATAACAATATAATAATGTAATAATATAACAATATAATAAGAAAAGCAGAGCTGGAGGTGCGCGGCGAGGAGTCGGAGGATCAAAAGTTCTACAAGGAGAGCGGCTTTGGCATCGAAGAGCTCAGGTTTTTGGTGTTCGATAAGGGTTTCTATAAGCGGTCCTCGTAAGGGTTTAGGGATTTAGGGAGGTTCTATCAGGTGTCCGAGTAAGGGTCTATAAGGATTCTATGAGGGTTTTCTAGCGGTTCTATGCGGGATAAGGGTCGGAGATGGGGGATGGTACTGTTGTGATGGCCAAAAAATCTTGATTAAAGCCCCTGATTGACAGACAGTGCACCCCCCGATCTGGACTTAGAATTCGGGATGAAAGTGTGGGACTTCGGCATTTTCAAGTTGATAAGATTCAGGGTGTAGGGTTCAAGCGGGCTCAGGTTCAGGGGTCTGAAACTCAAAGTTCAGTTCAGGGCAAAACGCAGAAACATGTTGATAGGAGGGTCAGGCCTCTTGACTTCTCCGTCGGTTCAAAAACCTTATCATAGGGACTTTTAGAGTCTTAGAGGGGCAGGGGTGAGGAGGGTAGGGGACTATAATTCCCTAAATGAGCCTTATTAAGTCCTTATTGTAGGTATTAAGGCCCCCGATCTTCCCCCTCCCCCCTAGCCCCCCCCTGCCCTTATGAACCTTACGATGGACCTTCCAGCTGCTCCCTATCATAGCCTCACCATCGATGTCTCAGCATCATGCGAACTCGATGAACGGCACTTTAGAAGCCTAGGCAATTACCTACATTATCCCTTGGGGCCCCTTATTCTAATGATACTATAAAGAATCTTTGAACCCTATTCTAATTATTAAGGCCCCTGCAGTCTCTTGAAGTCCCTCTGCGCGTCGCAGGAGTTACTCAAAGAGCAGCAGCAGTATGGAGCCGTGGAGGAGCAGATGCAGGGACAGAGCGTCTCCTCAGCGCACCTTTGCCGGAATGGACCCCAAAAGTATGTAGAATAATGGGCTTTCGCAGGTTTCCGACCATTACTTTACCTACTTTGGGGGGTCTGGGTACATGTGAAGTTCTATCACCTCTGCTTCGATTCGATCCGAAGCTTGACTTGTCAAACCCTTTAAGCCCTGAGTCCAATAAACCCGAGAACCTACGAGAAAGGCATGGTTTGCAGAATGGAGTAGGCCTACGATTACAGCATGGTGTGCATGAAGACGTGGTCTGCAAGAAGATGGGTAATGCTCCGAAGCCGAACATCGGAGCTCTCAGCGAACCGCAACGAGCTCGTGGGATGCTCGAGAAGTTTCCGGCATGCGTTACCATGACCGGCTTCAAGGGAGGTGAAGGTGCAGGATAAGAGTAAAACTTACACACAACCCCGTAATCATATCTGCCGAAGTGCGCTGGTTATCGAAGAACCTACAGCAAAACGGATCTGGTTCTTGCCTCCCTGCGACATAAGAATGGCTGTACGTCTTGACGAGAAGGTCGCGTCGACTTGGCAGATTGTACTGATGATTGACCCGATGCAGCTGTGGACCACGGTAGCCTGTGCTCTCCCTCCACACTTCCCTGTCCGCGACTCTTCAATATTCCCATAACATATATACCTGGACCTGGACACGGTCTCTTCAGCCTAAACCCCACCCTAATTCGAAATGAGCGAGTGGCGTGCTCCTTAAGCAGTGGCATCCGTTTGGTCGTTGCCTCGAAGGACTGACCTCTAATCTTCAGTGGTGCTTCGCTTCAAGTTAAGTACAGGCCCAAAGCATGCTAAGAGGGTTTAGGGTTTAGAGGAGCCCCTAGCCTGCTTTGTTACATTTATGGGAACAGAATGTAAACCGTAAATCTTGCACCACCTGCGAGGCACCGCTTCTCCGGCAATGTGATGTCCTTTGGTCGCATTACATGGATGTTCGGGGTGCTTGTGGCCCATTTATACTTCATAACTGTATATAACTTATAATAGTAATTAATAGTAGTGAGAATAAAAATAGTAGTAATAATAATAATGAGAGTAGTGGTAGTAGTAATAATAATATACAATTAAAATCCAGATTATATGTCATTCCGAACCTGCGAGTCGGGTTCAGAGTTGCGGGTTTACGATTTCAAGCGTTTCGGCCTAGGGGTCCTTGGGTTACGATTCCGTGGCTCCAGCGCCTGGAGGCCTGGCTGCCATAAGGAAGGGGGCGGTCGAGTGGTTTACTGTCGAATTACGACAGAAAGGGAACTCCAGAAAGTTGGAATATGGAATGAGGGTATTCTAATTTTTAGGGTTCTATAATGGTTCCTTTAAAGGGATCTATAAGGGATCTTACTATAAAGGGAACTCCAGAAAGTTGGAATATGGTTTCATGGTAGGATCCCCTATAATTTACCTTAAAGGGGTTACGATAATGATATTCCAACTTTCTGGCTTCTACTGTACTACCAGCAGGAGCAAGCAGAACAAGCTAGAACAGTAAGAGTGAAGTTGATTAACAATAGCAGTAACACTATCTGCCACAAGTATTGGTGACGATCACCGGTATGAGAAAGGTGTGCATGTGTACGTGCCAGTTCATTGCCAGAATAATCGATGTAGCGGTTAAGAGTTCCAGTGTTGTATTCGAAAGACTGTCCCCCTAGCCGCCTGGCCCAACACCCAAGACCCAGGCAACCCTAAAGGCATATAAAATCCTATCCAAAAAAGCCAGACTCCGTGGTGCAACCGGGTATTAGCTCTTAGACCACCGCCCTCAACAAACAAACTAGACGAAACCCTACACTACACTCTTTACAAACCTTAAGCACTCATATCTCCCCTGCCACCACCCAAAAGGCATCAGACCCAAACCCTATACCCTAAATCGTAAATCATAGAGTCCAGGGGGAAAAGGAGGGACCCTTAATGGGGACCCCTAGGTATATACCCTTAATATAGCTATTATATACCCATTATTTTGCCCATTATAGGGTAGGGGTCTCCAGTAAGGGTCCCTCCTTTTCCCCTTTGATAGAGGAGCTTCGCACAGACGGACCCTGGCCATCCAGCTCCGCCGGCCCCAAGTTCTGTCCTGGCTGTGGGGCAGGCGTCGGCTTTGGCAAGGAATTCTGATGGGGGTTTAGGGTCTAGGGTTTGGGTTTAGGGGTTAGGGTTTCGAGGCTTTGGTCAGCATTTCTCTTTGGGCTTTCTAGGGACTCAATAGCTTCGCTTGTGAAAAGGATGGTTCCACATGTTCAGCTGTGTTTGACTAGCGGCCGTACTGCCTGCGGTGATGAGGGTTGCTGGGGGTTGCTGGTCGTGCGAGACACACTGGGACTTTCAGGAGACTCACACCACAGCCCGAGAAAGAAATTTTCGGTTCAGGGAGACCGTATTCTGTGACCAGTAGCACTTTTTATCACCTGAAGAGCCCCAGGAGTTTCTGGGAACTTAAGCCCTTAACCCTGAACCCTAAACCCTAACCCCCAAATTTTAAATCCTAAACCCTCAACCCCTAAACCCCTAAACCCTAAAGCAACACTACTAGGAGGAAAAATGCGTTCACAAAAAAAATACCTAAAGCAACGTTTCCTCCCCGAAGCCGCTGCCAGGCTACCGCCCCAATGCCAAGCCTCCCGAGTCCTAGCAAAGAAGGTTTCTCGGGCACGGGCGGCTCATGAGTGTGGGGTTTAGGGGTTTAAGGTTTAAGGGTTTAGCCTTCGGAGTTTAGGGTTTAAGGGTTTAGCCTTTGGAGTTTGGGGATTTAGGGTTTAAGGGTTTAGCCTTTGGAGTTTGGGGTTTAGGGTTTAAAGGGTTTACGGTTTAGAGTTTGGGGTATAGGGTTTCCACTATCCGAAACCGTTCATGATGTTGATTATGCACCTGCTGATGATGATGCTGGTTTTGATGGTTATGCGATGACAAGGGTGATGATAAGCAATGGTGATGATGGCGTGGTGGTGGTGGGGGTGTAAATAGATACTGGTGGTGTTTGGCTGCTCGTGACAATGGGTGCTATTGAAGCTTCATCGTTTTTTTGTTGGTTTTGGTTGATCTGGAGGTTTGTTTGTGGCAAGATGTGGATGCTGAATGCCTGGAGCCTTTTGCTTATGAGTTCGGCCTTCGCTTCCGTGCAATTTGGCAAAGTTTGCCTGCAGATATCCACCCGGCGTTCTGATTTAGAGTTGGGTTTAGGGTTCAGGGGTGTTTGTTTCTGTTCGCTGTTTCCATGCGCACGCTTACTGTCACTTGCGTCTTTCCGGCCTCGTGTCGCAATGCCTTAAACAACTTAAACACTGTAAATTACAATAGTACCAGTACTAAACACCGTGTACTTCTCATTATTAACATACCCTTCACAGTAGGCCTCGTAGTAACCCTTGAACCTTTACAAGGGCCCTACACCCGAAACGGGAAAGCTTGCAAACCCGGAGCATGAGTTGCACAGTGCTGAAGCCTGAAATGTGATTTTTGAGGCCTTAATCATTACCTCTACTGTTTTGGGGTTTCCTTATTCTAATTATAGTATAATGGGCACCAAGGAAACCCTATTCTAAGTTTAAGGCCCTTACAGTATAGTAGCCGTATAGTATCCCTTATGGTAGCCCTTATAGACCCCTCTTTAAGGAACCCTATTCGAACTATGAAGGCCCCTGTAGTGGAAGTTCAGATGTCAGGCTAGAGAGGGTTTCGGATATCGGGCTGAGGTTGCTGATTCAAACCTTACCTTAAAGGGTTCCTTAAGGGGTTCCTTAAAGGGTTCCTTTTAAAGGGTTCTGTCAGGGCTATAGGGGTTTGGGGTCTAGGGATTACTTGGAGGATCATGGGACTTAGTAAGTAATGTTATCAGTACCTTAATTGGGGTTGTACGTAAGTATAAGTATAGTTACCTTAATTATAACCCTAGTTACTAAGTCCCATGGCCCTTTAAGTATTGTGCCTATAGGCTCCATAGTAGTTCCTTTTTGGGGTTACCTTATAGGATTCAAAATATGAACCCCAAAACGGAACTACTATGGAGCCTATGGGTAGACTCTCCATCTACCCTCTATTAGACAGGGTACAAGGAGGGTCCTGATAAACCTTTTTTTCACCCCGGAAAACCCTATCCTAAATATGAAGCCTGAACCCCGAAGCCTTGACAAACCAGCCCAAATGCGTTAGCCTAAAAAAATATTGCGGGGTTCCTTATTATGATTAGAGTATACCATACCCCCGAACCCTATTCTAACTATTAAGTCCCCTATATTAAGTGCTTGACAAACCAGCGCTCAGCTCATACGGGAGAAGCTTCCAGGCCGCGCTAGCTCTGAAGCCCGAACTGCACAGATGGGGCCTAAAGTCCCAGCCTAGGGGCTAGGGTTTCGGGGTTTAGGGGTGTAGGGTCAAGCCGTACATGCTTTATTGCAAGAGCCTTGAATCCTGAAACTCCAGTATCCCATTGTCAAAGTTTAGGCCCCGAGCATGTTGAGTCCTAATTTTATGAAAGCTTTGGCCCGTGTGGAGCCCTAGGGTGAGGGCCCTAAATCCTAACCCTGAGCCTTAAATCCTCAACCCGACCCGATAAAGATCTGTCTAGCTGCCTGGTGCAGGTCCAGAACAGCCTGTGCCTGGGACGCCTGCATGGTAGTACTTCTCGACCGGCAGGTGTCTCAAGAGTTGGTGTATTTGAGGCAGAATTCAAGGGTTCCCCAAGCTACTGGTAGAAATTGAAAATAGCCTCTTATAAGGCCTTGCAGTGCTTGGAGGTGTTAGCTGTTGTTTACGGGACATGAGACCCTGTTCCGTGTACTATACCTCGGAGGCGCAGGAATGAAGTCGCGAAGCGCGCGTTGTCTGGTGCCTGCGGCAGAGATGTCGCCACCCTGCAAAGAAGCCGCTGTTTTGGGTCGAGAAACCGCAGAAGACGACTTTCTGGTTTTCGGTCAGGAAATTTACCACTCCATTTGCATGCAGGGCCTCTTGGTACTTTATTGGCTCCATCCATGATCTAAGGGCCTTAATAGTTAAGTATAGCGTTTTGGGGGGTTCCTTATCAGAATTACAGTGTAACAAACCCCAAAACCCTATCCTAATTGTTAAGGCGCGTTAGTAGTCTTCCCTGAATCCAAGCCTCTACGAAAAGCCATGGCTTGGTCCGCTTGCGTCCAACAAGCTTGCTTCCAACAAATGCAAGCCCGTCCTGCAGCCTTCTGCCATATGCGCAGACTTTTATACCATATTGTAATATGTGGGGGCTTAAGCCGGTAGTAAAATGCAGTATATTGTATCATGTGTGCGTCAACGGTAGTTCGTTGTTTACGTGCCCTTTTCCATTTCACAACTTTGCAGCGCTCCGCTGGTCTGGAGGCTGACTACCGCAGACGCTCTGCTCACATCTCTTCAGCGTAGGAAGCGTTTCTTCTCCATGTAGTCCGGCCGAGCGAAGTGACCATCGTGCAGTCGAGGACCACCGGTTGCATGATGTCAAGAACCCGACAAGATCCCAATGTAGTGCTGCAATAAGAAACAGACCACGAATCCGAACTACGATGAAACCCTGCACCCTAAATCCCATAACCTTCATGGAGTGTAAGACCCTCACTTGGCCAGGTTTAAAAGTTGAAAATGTAGGCCGCTTCTTCAGCATGTGGCTTGTATGTCGTGAATGTGTGAAGCCCTGGCAACGAAGCCAACAAACCGATCACAGGAGGGTCGGCGGCGATGTCCGTGAGCGATGGAACCCTCATGTTGTTTACTCTGGTTGGCATTCCTTTGGCCCGGGGCTTATTGCAGGCTTCTTGCTGCCTCTGATCACTATGTTATGTTGCTCCTGGTGAGGCTGGCCAAGAAGATAAGGTAGCGGGGTGTGATGCGCATAATGATGATGGTGATGGTGATGAGGAGGAGCAGGAGGAGGCTGACCATTGTGCAGATAGTAGTTTAGATGAGAGGTGTGGCGCTATCCTCGTTCATGACAATGGTTTGGGAGAAAGCAGAATGTTCTCTGCAGTACAGCACATTCGTCGCTGGTCATGCTTGCAGTTGTTCTGTTCAATCAGGCTCGACAGAGTGAAATGCTACTCGTCCCGGAAGATGGGGGCATCAACGGTGACCAGCAGCCAATCACACCAAGGTTCTGACGATGCTGGCATTCTTTGTGGCAGGCCGATTTGGCGCGGAGGTCGGCAGGGTCTGAAGTCTGCTAGCGCTTGACGAATACGGCTTTGAATAACAAACGTGTTCCGCCTTGTGAATCTACCCAAGGATGGGAAGCCGCCCTTGAAAACAAGTCACGCCTGCAGTGGTGGCTATAACAGAACTACAGAATTCTGCCACTTTGTTCATCCGGGTATTGCTGGATTCTGGTGAACTGATCCGAACAGATATGTCAATACCAACTTACCCTAGGACTGCGGGGGTGCTTTGCCCTGATGTTCAGTACATTCTCGCAAATTCGCGAATGCTAACCTAGTGAGCACTTTATGATGACCATCAGCCTCGTCATCACTGTCATCATCACCGTCATCATCATCATCATCATCATCATCATCACCGTCATCATCATCATCAGCATCATCATCATCATCGTCATCATCATCATCATCATCATGAACAACAACAACAACAACATCACCATCATCGTCGTCATCATCGTTGTGACCATCATCGGCATCATCGTGATGATGACCATCTCCATGGTTTCATTTATGAGGTGCACTATCGAATAGAGCGTCGTGTCGTTGAGCATGACGATGATAATCACGTCCGTTGGTGACAGCTCAGTGCCCATACTTTGGGAGGGAATCCGGAAAGACAGGACGAGTGATGCTCAGGTTCGCGGCATCGGATGTAGGGTTGAAGTTTTGTGCTGCTTCAGGGCTGATCTTATCAAGCCTTGCAAAAGCCTATCTTCTTGAGGATAAACCTCTCCATTCTCAGCAGCGGCCGCCACCGCCCAGCACTCAGCTGTCTGACTGATCCGGCTTGGTGATTTGTAGCGTCAGTGCTGATTGGCGAGGTGTTATTCCGAGGGTGTCGTTGCCTCGTGTGGGGCTCATGATCCCGTATAGCAGCGTCTCTCCCTTACTGCTTGCCCCCCTCCTTCCCTCGTTTATCTCTCTCTTGCCCTCTGCACATACGTGTAAGGACGTTCTTGCATATGCATCTCTATATATATATATATATATATATATATCATATATGTATATGTGCGTGTGTCTGTGTGTGTGCGTTTAAAACCTGTATACATGCACACACACACACACACAGAGAGCATATGTTGAGCAGTAAGTTTTCCCATCCTCAAGCCTGGCGCACTGGTTTCTGCCCATGAACGCTTGTAAAGTTTTTATCGACCCAGCATTATCAGCTTCTTCATCTTCGTGGCGTCCTACGGTTGATGATATAAATCCTGCATTACCCATAAAAGGATTATACCACAATTCCCATAGTTTAGGGTCCTTTAAGGTAATGCAGGATTTATATCCTCAACAGTGCTACCCTTGAGCCTTCAAGTGTGCGGCTGATGCAGGGAGGGTTCGAGCCTTGATGTGTAGTTTAAAATGTAGAGTAGGCCTTGTCCAGTACGATTCACGTTGCCGGATGTAAGGTTTTAGGGTTTAGGGTTTAAGGGTTTAAGGCTAAGGGTTTAGGGTTTAGGGTTTTAGGGTTTAGGGTTTTAGTGTGTAGGGTTTAGGGTTTTAGGGTTTACATAGGGTTTAGGGTTTTAGTGTTTAGGGTCTAGGGTTTTTAGGGTGTTCGTGCTTGCTTCGTTTCCACTTAACACCAGGCAGGTATCCAGCCCAAGACTTCCAAAACCAATGCGAAACCTCCAAGCTTCACCCTACCTGCCAAAACCCGCAGCCCAGAGTAAAGTAAGCCTCAATAGTCTTGACCCCGATATCCTAGCATGAACCTTAAACCCTAAGCCCTAAACCCAAGCCCAACGATCCAAACCCTGTATAGCCTTTCTAGACTAGAAGCCCAAACGCTTCAGACCAAAATCCGTATAGTAACACCAATAACCCTAAACTCCAAAATTCCTTTAATCCCCACCCTAAACCTCAAAAGCCTAAACCCCCCCGGAGCCAATTCCTCTGAAACTTTCGCCAGAAAGCCTTTCTTTCAGCGAAAGTCTGAAGCCCATTCCGTAAAGCTTCCCAAAGGGCCCTAGGTACCTACATAGTAGAAAATGGGGTTTCTATGGTAGGACACTCTATTATGGTTCGGGTGGTGCTCTGGAAGATATGTTTGCCAGTGTATTTTGAAGAACCACAGGCCCCCTTGACTTTGTTTTCTAGTATATGGGAGTTTCCGAAAACTAGGGGTACCTTATTTTGGGGCCCCTATACTAAGGATCCTACTATTTAGGGTACCATCTTAGGGTCCCCTATTTTCCGAAACTCCCATATATAGAATCCTATAAGGTAATTTAAGGTAATCCCAAAAAGGAACTACTATGGAGCCTTAGGGTCCCCTATTTTCGGAAACTCCCATATAATGTGCAGGGCTTACCAGCCGGGGATCGGCTGGGCACACAAAGGAGTTCGACAACGCAACGAAACCCTAGGTTTTTTGTGACTATAGTTGACCATCACGTGCTAAGTATTTTTAGAGTATATTATATGGTACTGTGTGTTACAGTACATTATGGTATAATGGTGTGCATTATACATAGTAAATAGAATACTTTGGGGAATCCACTCCTTCTTCAAAGGATCCAGGCGCAGGCAAAGTATCGGAGCTCGCCGTGGGCCCAGCGGGAGCTCCGGAAAAGAGAGAGTTTTGCGGGATTCGGGCTTGGGGGCTTTGGGGTTTCGAGCTGTTAAGTTTAGTTAACCCTAAACCTTAAACCCTAAACCCTTAAAAAAAAAACCTAAACCCTACTGTAGTGTTTGTATAGGAATTCTGGGTTTTCAGGGTTTAGTTTTGTTGGGTTGCTGGGCTTCCGGCTGTTCGGGCTAGTGGGGGTTATTGGGGCTGTAGGGTCTGGGAGGTGGTCGTTGAGGTTTGCGGAGTTTAGAGTTTAGGCTTCAGGGCCTTTTAGGGTTTGAGTCTAGGACTAGGAGTTTTGGCAATAAACATATTGGGGAAAAATACCTTTTCCCCAATATGTTTAGGTTTTACGGTTTGAGTCTAGGACTGGGAGTTTTGGAAATGTTCTCAGAGCTTGTATGACAACCCTAAACCCTAAACCCTGGCTAGTATGACACCCATTGCTGCAGCAGCGCCTGCTGGAGAGGATGGAAAAGCAGAGAGACGCAAGGAACATCTCGAAACTGCCTTCAGGAAACCAGCGGGTTGCTGTATGTAATACGGTTGATGATATAGATCCTGCATTACCTTAATAAGGACCCTAAACTATGGGAATTCTGGCATATTCCTTATTATATGTAATACAGGATTTATATCATCAACCGTATGTAAGCATGAGTGATTACCAACGCAACGTCATCCCGTAGGTTCTTTCATGCAAGTATACCGTCATATTCCCCAGAACCCTACATGTGCTCCTACATTAGCAGAGACTTTGCGAAATAGGGCATCCTAGTAGTCGGCTGTTTGCTCTCCCAAGTGTCGCACCGTGTGAATCAAGTCGGCCAGTACTGCCTCTAAGATGCCATATTCCCCTAAATCATGAACCCCCCA